GTAAAAAGGCTGGAGCAAGTGAAGTAAGATTCACACCAATGCTTAGATGGGCAGAAAGGAGAAACTTTGGAAGTTAACATTTTCCTATACCGAAAATGTATTTCCAATAATACCTCATTTCACACACTCCTGCCCTTCCCCCATGAAATGGCTGGTTTTGGGTCTGCCAATTGGACTGTCTCGAAAAGTGAATTGCAGTTAATAATGGGGAGCTTATAACAGATCTTGGATAGGGGGTGCATCGATGTAGGTGGAAACAATCATAAGATTTAACTTGCTTTGGGCAATATAGTGGGGTAAAAAGGCTGGAGCAAGTGAAGTAAGATTCACACCAATGCTTAGATGGGCAGAAAGGAGAAACTTTCATCAGGATAAAGTTAAAGTGTGAGAGGAGGTAAGTATTATTGGAAATACATTTTTGGTATAGGAAAATGTTAACTTTTCTATAAATTCTGTGTATCTAAGATTATCAAAAGAGTACTTTCTTTAATCAATATACACAGTAATTTCATTTGTCAGTACATGGTTATTTAGTCTTCTCTTGATAAAGTATTACCTTAGCAGCAGGCTTTTAAAGGTCTTTGTAGAACATCTTAATAATTTTGTAAGTTTTTATCTTACCTTCTGTACTTCATTTAAATGGAAGTTTCACATGCTGTTTTTAAATTTCTTGAAAAGAAATGGTTATTGTGGAGAGATAATAGTTGTTTGTTTGGTAGAGGAGATAATAGTGAAATGAAGACAATTACATTATTCCTCACACTGAAGAATTATTTGAACAGACATTGGCTTTGAGATCTAATTTTGGTTTTCTTTTAAAAGTTAAGTGAATAATACATTTAAATTAAACTTTATAAACTAGTTTTGATTCCTGTAATTTTAAGGTAGGAAACCTTTTTGATATATTAAATTTCTTGTATCACCTGTAGAAACTTGCATTCACTATGTTTGAACAAAAGATAGGCAGTCAATGTTCCACATAACATTCTGTTATAGTCACAGAGTAAATAGGTACAAATATTTTTTTCTTCCCATAGCATTTAATGTGTAAACTAACAGTATTTTTCTGATCTACAGCAGATATACCATATTTATCACTTTTTCTTTCGATGAAGTGCATATTTGATTTTCAAAGGAACATGATATTTTCTAGGAAGTAAATGACCCACTAAAAAATGACCTTATAGAAAAGGTTGAAGACAACACTATGGAAGGGTTGCGAGAAATGGGTGCATTTGGCATGCAGGTGCCTCAGGATTTAGGAGGAGTTGGATTAAACAACACCCAGTATGCTCGACTTGTAGAGGTGGTTGGAAAACATGATCTTGGGGTTGGAATCACTCTTGGAGCACATCAGGTTAGTAAGCTTACACTATCACTTATGATTTGGAATAACATTCAGCTCTAATTCAAATGTTTTTGTTAGAAATGACCTAAAGGAGAGCATTATACTTGAGTGATTATTACAACCTACATGTATTTGTTTTGTTTAAGCTAGAATATGCTGTAAGATGAACATACAAACTAAAGTTTAGATATAAACTAGATTACCTAAGCTTGAAATCTGTGGTAGTATCTAAACTGTGTGTGTAAAAAAGCCACAAATTATATACTAAAGATACATATTTAACACTGAAAGTTATAGTAAAGTGAATATAAAAAAGATAGTGCACATGAAATCCATATGCATTCTATGATAGCAAGTCCTACATTTTATAAGGTTATAATGGTAAAATTCAGTGGTGAGTACAGGTTAATTCAGTTTGTGTATGCTGATGCTAATATCTGTTTGTTGGAGGATAGTGAAAATGAACTAACAAGTGTAGAAGTTATTCGATAAGAATAGGAAACTAAATAAGGCTAAACTAATGCTGCAAACTGATAAGACTAGACTAATGCTGTTGTACTGTCTCAGGTTACTACGTTATTGATATCTACATGTCCACTATGTAAGGCATGCCTAATTTTTCAGGGCTCATTAATACTACTGCATTTATATGTGGATTTTTTTAATACTCTCTTTATTGTCTTTGTTTATTTGCAGGTATTTTTGCATGAAAAAAATGCCTTTTGTAAATAGTAGCATAACATTCAATTATTTGTACAAAATTGTATTATTTAATGAAGTTTAAAGAGGAATGTAAGGAAAAAATTCCTAAAATATGGTTTAAACTGTAAATAAACGCCCTCTATATTTTCTTTCACTTCAGCACTGGTCCTGCCATCTATGATTGTATCTAAACCTTTTTCTAGTCTGTTTTCTTTATAAAACTGCATCTGGGCGTGTTAAACCTCAGTTGTAAAACTTTTAGCCAATCCTAGTCGAAGGTGTCAATATCAGTACCATGTTATTAAC